ACGGCGTGGACGGCGCCGTCCTCGCGCTCAGCCTCCTCGCCGTGCCCGCCGGTGAGGGCGCGGGGACAGGGCGACCGGCCGGGCTGCGGGCTGGGACCCTGGCGGTGCGGAGGGTGCAGCGGATGGGTGCCCGGGAGGGAAGAAGGTCGCGCCCTAAACTCCCAAGTCTGGACTCGGGGTGTGCTGCTCCGAGCTCCCGGAGGATCCGGGAAAGGGACGGATGGGAGGGCTGGGCGGAGGGGGCCTGGGGCCGGGGCGCGAGCGGGGTGGGGGTTGGGGTGCGGGTAGGGGTGGGGGGAGCGGCCGGGAGTCAGGGCAAGGAAGGGGGGTTTCTGTCGGGCCCCCTCGTGGTCCGCACCCACCACACCCGACCCCCTCCCTGCGCCCAGTGGGCCACAAGACGGCAACCCCGCGGGAGGGTAGACTCTGGCAGAGGTCCCCCATCCCAGGGAGAGAGCCACCAGCCCAGCTCCTGGGACAGCCAGAGCCCATTGCTCAGCGTCTTCAGAAGTAATTTAGCGACAGAAACCTGTTTATAGTCATGTAACACCAACACCCGAACCCCACTGCCACGCACTGAACTCCCTCCCAGAGCTCCCTATAGAGCTAGGGTTACAGCGACTGTAACAGCCTCAACTTTCCTCCTGCAGAGGGGCTGCTGGCTTTGAACTGCCCACCTTGGGGTCAGCAGCCTAATGAGTAACTCACAGCGCCGGCAGAGAGCCTTTTCTTCATGGGAAGGCTGATCATATTATTCATTTTCCGTTTTTACTTGCTTCTGAGAACTAAAACAGTTTTACCTTTGAGGTTTGTCGTTTTAACCTCTATTGGCCCCAGAGGGAAAGGCAAGAAATACAAAGGAATAATTAAATCCAAAACTTAACAGAGTGAGTTAAATCCAGACTTAAAATAAACCAATCATTAAAATCTGGTGGGGGGCGGGGGCTGGTGCCTATTTCCCTGGGGTCCTCCCTGGGCACAGCTGAGATAGGAGCTGGAAGAAAAGATCCTGATGCCCACCTCTCCCCTCCCGGCCTCACAGGGTTCCTGTGCCTGCGGTTTGCGAACGTCCTGGTCTTTGGCCTGGGCATCCTCATCCTGGGGGTGTGCCACTATACACTCACGGTCAAGGGCAGCCACCTGGCCACACACGGGGCCCTCACAGAGTCCAAGACCTGGAGCAGGATCTGGGAACTTTTCTTTGTGGAGGTGAGCCGGGGAGCCAGGGAGCCGGCGGTGCGGGCACGTGTGCGGTACATGGGTGTGCTGTGCGTGTGTCCAGGGGGCAACGACAGCAGTACTCAGCGTGTGTCCCCAGGTGTGCAGGAGACACATACAGGTGTGTGTATGCGTGCGCGCATGCGCATGTGTGTTAGCGTGCATCCCCCACGGGCCTGAAGAAAGGAGCTGCAAGTCAGGGGGTACCAAACTGCATGATGGGTCTGGGCATACACAGCTCCCCTGCACTTCCTACCTGTCCCCGGGCAGCACCAGAGACACCGTGACTGGCAGATCCTGGCCTGAGGCTGCCCTACCCTCTGGCTGCAGTCCTCCTTGTTTTGCAATCGGGGTTTAAAATGTGAACCTCGGACAGAGGGGTGGGGGAGCAGGGGCCAGTGACAGTACCCTAGGTCTGGAGTGTGCTCCTCCCATACCCGGCCATGGCCTGGACTAGCCTGAGTGCCTGGGACAGGCCCCTCCTCCTGGCCCCTGCCACCCAGCTCTCCCTCTTTCTGCCCCTCCCCACCTCCCGCCTGGGCCTTCTCACAGTGGACAGCCTGGGAATGTCCTGCTTCTCTGAGCTGGTGTCCAGGTCCCTCCCCCTCTCCCTTCCACTCGTGAACCCTCACAAGGCTGCCACGGTCCCTTTCGGAGCGAATTTGGAAGTCAGTTCCAGAAACACTTTCTGGCAGGGGCTGGTGATCCAGACAAGCCTGCAAAGCCAGGTGCCTTGGGCTGAGTGCACTGCTCTCCACGGGCTTCCAAGGGCTGCTGTTTCCGAAGGAGATCGCCAGGCCTCTCTTCCACGGTGCCTCTCAGTGGACTGACACCTTTGACTTCTCAGTCAGTCACCGAGCGTGGGAACCTTTCCCACTTCCGGGGGCTACTACCACTCTTAGGGGGGAAGTCTTTTAGTAAGTTTGACGAGATTTTCTTTTTTGGGGGGGCGGGGGATTGCTTTCTAGGAAGATTCAACCAGGACAGTTGGACAGGAAAAAATGTCTCACCTCCAACTGACCATTTTGTCCTTGATCCCTGTCTTGCCCCACCAGCTCACACTTCTCAGTCCTGGTGGTATAGTGGGCTATCTGATAGGCTGCTCACTGCAAGGTCAGCCGTTCAAAATCACCAACAGCTCCGAAGGAGAAAATTGAGGCTTTCTACTCCCGTAAAAACTTACAACCTCAGAAACTCACAGGGGCTGTTCTACCCTGTCCTATAAGGTCACTTTGAGTCAGCCTGGACTCGAAGGCAGTGAGTTAAAGGTAAGAGGAATCAAGGTGTGGTGATCCTCAAGGTCCCTTTCTAGAAACATCCCTGTCCAGGGACCCCTGGTTGTTGATCCCAGCCAGTCTCCAGTGCCCGCCTGGAGTCAGATACCCCCCAGGTTTGTGAAGGGCAGGGTAAGGTGGGGGAAGAGCCAGGTAACAGATTGACCTGGAGGCTCCAGTTTGTTAAAGATGGAAGTCTCCGGGTGCTGCCCAGTGAGCCTGATACCTGGGGTTTGGGAACTCCGGGCTGGGATTGTCCGAGGGGCCTGGGGGGATCAGGTGTGCTGTGCAGAGGCAGGGGTTCAAGACCACGTCTTGCAGGAAGCTTCCCAGACGACTGAGGGAGAGTGTCCCGCGAGAACCACAGCATATGAGCTCCGCGGGCTCCTTGGGTCCTGCCTGCTGCATGCACCCTCCTCTTCACCCTCTTCATCCTGACCTGGCCTCCTGGGTCTTCCCCTCCTGGCCAGGGCTGAGTGCTTGCTTAGCTTTGCGTCAATATTTGTTGTTGACAATCTGTCAGATGAGTTGAGGCAAGTGGTGCTGCGGATTTGAATAAATGACAGCCACGATAATGTCTCCATAATTTAGAAGAGTCTTTATTCGGTTATAACCAGACTGCTAGAATCTAAAAGCAATTCTTTGATTGCAGTCCGGAGACCACATTTCAGTCCGTCTTTTAAAGGCAGAAAAACACAGTTGTCCTTTGTCTAAGACTTAAGCGAGCGTGAACAGAAGCAGAAAGCAACATTGATGTTACTATCCTTCAGGGTTAGGGAGCCTTGCAGGTAGAGCATTGATTATACCAGTCTGGTCACTTCAGGAAGAGCAAGCGTGCATTACAAGGTATGCTCCTTATCATAAAAGAAACAAGACCAAAGGGCCTTTATCAACGTGGTGTGAGCCCAGTGGGCATGAATGCTTTCCGAGGACACAATCACGGGGTTGGAATGGGGGCACAGGGAGGCTGCTCGCTCGTGGCTGGGCTCCTGCCTGCCTCAAGGACTTGTGGAGTTGGTGCTGGATTATCTGTCAGGTTTTCAGGGACTGAAACAAATCCTGAGTATGAATCTCTGCCTGCAGCTGTCCCTGGAACAGCCAAGGGGTCGGTGTCAGATCAACCTGACATCGTTACACAACTTCTTAGCCACATACAATTTTCAAAACAAAGACGGTAGTTCTAACAAATTAAAACTAAAATACATACAGTTTGAAATTTACCAGCCTTCTTTAAACATAATATTTTATAAGTGAACAAAAGTATTTTATATTTTTATCTATGAAAGTTTGCAAGCCAGCTCCCTTATGCTTTTATTCCCCTCCCCAAATTCAGGCAGCCAATTTCTTTTGTCTTTTTTTTTTTTTTAAGGCATCCAATTTCTATACTGCCTACTTACATTAACCTAATGCTTTGAGGAGACAAGCAGGTTCTTTGACGTGTGGAATCTTCATTCCAATTGGAACCTTGTGAGCCCACACCCATAAGCAAAGTCAAATCAGGACAGGCTGTCCATAAAGTCAGCAGCAATATGCACCAGTTCACAGGCTCAAATATCTTCTTTTCATCTGGTCGGGTTTTGGGTAACTCAATGTGGGCTGTTTCACTTGGCTCCACCAGGGTGCCCATTGGTCACCTTGCCTTTGACCATGGTCTAGTCACATATTTATGTTTTAAACAACGTTAGCCTCCATGGGCTAGGCCAGGAGCTTCAGCCAACCGCTCTCATCTTCTTTAGTTCCTGTGAGCCAGGTTCTCAAGTGTTAGTGACCAAACTGAACCTGTTTTCTTATTGCTAGGTTTCTTTCCACTGCCACAGAGCCAGTGGACCCACGCAGTCACCTAGCAAGCATTTCAGGTTGCTACAGGCTCCTTTTAATCTTTAGTTCTAGAGAGGAGAGTTTCTTTGTGGCTTTAATTGTTTTTTTTTTCCAGCCTTAGGCACAAGCCACTAGTTTAAAGTTTTTAGAAAGCCCCAAACAGCAATCTTCACCAGTGTCTGCAAATGTCCATAGCACTCACAGCGCCTTCTTTCCAGGCGTGGCCTAGACCCGTTTTAAAGATGCAAATTGACGGCTGAAAGCAAATAGGCGGACAAACTTTCTATTTTTTTTAACTGTTCAATGATCATTTTTATCAATTACTGTATTAATACAGAACTCCCGTGGTCCCGGAGTTCAATGAGTGTCATTGGTGGAAACCACAGGTCTTGGCAAATGCTATTCAACAATTTGTATGAGGAATGTAACCCAATAAGAGTGATCTTAGTTTAGATGAAATAACAGGCACTGCCAGTTGGCCAGGACCATGCACTCAGGAGTCTTAGGAGAAATGACGGGGTCTCTGATGGAGACTGTCCTTGTAGGACTCTCTGGAGACCACCTGCTTAAGGGAGGCATACCAAGGAGAAATGTATACATTTTTTTTAATCTGTTGAAATACAAACACAACTTTTCCCTTGATTGAGCAAAGGTTTTAATATCTTATTACTATTCATGCTTTTCTTCTTCCTAAAGGTGCACTGGTTCCTTCCTAAGGGTCACCTGTTCTGAATCTGAACTCTGGCTTTGGTTTTAATAGGCTTTTGCGAGGTCCGACCTGCTTCTTTTAAGGCCACTCCTACAGTTGAGGCTACAGCCCTTTTGCTGGTTTCTCCAGGCATTATAAACCCTTTGAGACATTCCTATTAATTCTAAAAAAAATAAAAATAAATTAGTTGTTATTTCCTTTCATGTCCCACCCCTGCTGCCCTGCAACACAGTTTTGGGGGGAGCCTTGTAGTGAGTACGACTGTTGTCCTTTGACGGGTAAAGCACAATCAGTATTTGCTGGCAGTGTTTCAAGTGGGGCGATAAGTTTAGAAAAAACCCAAACCAGGGGGCGTTAGCAGAGTTCTGCAGAGCGGGGAGCCAGCGTCTGCGGACCGTTCAGCTCTCTACAGGTGAGCGCAGGCAGTCAGCGTCTGCGGCTGCTCTCTGCTCTCCATGGATGAGACAAGGTGGGTGGCTGTGGCCTGTGGGGATTAGGGGCAGAGGCCACAGCAAACAGATTCCGGGAAGGCGGGGGCGGGGCGGAGGCAGAGGGTGAGGGCTTTGCCCAAGAAGCCAAAGTAGATGGGCAGGGCTTGGAACGGCAACAAGGAATTTTTCATTTTACAAAGAGATTTTGGAGTACAGGTGGAACCAGGGGCGTTACCTAGAACACCCTGAGCTGCCGAGTGCAGAGTCTTTTGCAGCGGCAGAAAGCTCTTGTCCAGAAAGTTAGACACTGAGCAGCCCTAAGTGTGACCCCAAAATTGACATGAGCATTAAGCAAAGATGAATGAGCCTGCATTCCACGGGGAAGGAGGAGACAAACACTTCAAAGGGTAGTTATGTGAGCTGATTTTTAACCCTCTCAGTGCGAAGCAGACAAATAGGAGGTGAGTTCCATTTAAAGTGAAACCACTCAGGTGCTCACCTGATCTGCAGGTTAGAGCTTTAATTAGATGCAAACACACACCTACATATGTATTTTATAAATATTAATTTAAAAATTTAATTCCCTTCCGAAGATGCGAAAATATAAAATAAACAGGCAGTTGCCAGAAAAAAATAGACAAATGTAAAGAAAAACTCCTTTTACAAGCTGAACTTACATTTCTTGGAAGCAAAGATTAATTGTCTCTCAAAAACACAGTCTGTTTCCCAAACCTCTGGGTGAAACGGCTTCAAGTCCTT